TACTTTTAATGAAGCAATGGTGTTCGTTGGATACTTAATTTTGACCGGTGCTGCTTTCTTATACGTGAATCTCATCTCAACATCCCATGGCATGACAGCTAACGACTTAGCACAGCTGTCACAGTCAAGGCACGAACTACGCTTGTTAACATTCAAGCAATTCATTAGTTCCTATTATCATTTGATATAAAATAGAGTGTGATTCTGTGCTTCGACTCTCGTGATAAGACAGTTAAAGGTTTTGCCTTCTGCTTCAGTCCTTGGTCCTATGGGAGGGGTCTCCTTAGCGTCTCACTCTGATAATCCAAGATCCATTTCAGGCATCTTCTCCAACTTCTCTAGTAGCCGTGATCGTCTACAGCTGACGGTCTAACTATTGGTCAATTTTTTCTCATGGACGGGCCATGACATTGGACATATTAAGATCGTTTAGCATGCGATCAACATTAGATGAGCTCTTTTTAATTGTTGTGTGTAGTTGGATGACTTTGGTGGGAAATTGTTAGTCTTCTCCTCGGGCGGTTCCTGTTTTTTTTTCAGATAAAAAGATTGTTCTCCCCATTTTTCAATTAAATGCAGGAAACTTAGTAAAATCATCTGTGCTTTATTTCTTATCTTGTGTGCAGATAATATTCCGAATGCCCTGGCTCGTAAACAGTAATTTATGACGACTGACCTCTTTCCTAGCTACTGGCAAATCGAAGTAGCCTGCATGAAGGGCGCTCACTGTCTTTCCTGGCAATTGTGAATTCTGCACTTCAAAGATATCGACATATGAGTAATAACCCAAAAGTGATGTTTTCGGGTTCATATTTCTGGCCCATGTTATGTTGAAAGCTGGTTTCTCAATTGGTAACCTCCCCTGAGTTCAAGAGAGGAAGTTGCATATTTTGGACATCATTAGCTGCTAGCGTCTGTTCATTTTCCTGTAGAAAGGCATCGCCTTCCCCACCCCATCGGATAACCGTAAGAAAATGTCTTGGAGTGGACTAGATAATGCGGCGAAGCTTCCTTCCAACATAAACAAGTCCTGCCTTAACCTTCTCTGATTTAGGTGCTGATGTGCCTCCTTTCATCCTTAATACCGATGCTGCTAGTCATGCTACGGAGACGATTCTGTCACAACTATGAGCAGACGGTTACGAACATATTGACCGTGCCCCAAATAAGGCCGAATTAAATTGCTGCGAGAAGAGAACGTTAACCTTTAGCTTCATCAACAAAAACGTCCGCGGTATATCTCGAAGGGGAATCTCGCATCATTCGTTCCGATCATTTGCGCCTGCAGATTTCAACTTTCAGTTTGAATATTGCTCTGAAAAGTATGTAGATGCAAATGCCCTTTCCAAACATACCTTTCGTGCGCTTTTTTCCATCATGAGTAGCTACCAATGTTACCAACTCCTATTTAGTTTCTGCTTTATCTGTGCACACTTTAAGTTACTCAACATTTAGAGGCCCCTCTCCAACCTATGGCTTCTGGTAACGTCAACTAATGCTTGGATATTAGCATTATAGGCCCCTTTTCTGTCGTCTTGGTAGTGGATTCTTTATCTGCTATTTAAGGCCGAATCCTGTGTGGGTTGAATCGAAGGCTTATTTTAACTTTAGGAGCTCGAACAGTTTTCCGACACCATCATGATACATATCCTGTATCATATTGTATCAGTCGTAATCTTCAAAATTTTTTCCATCTCTTCCCACATCTTTCTTCATTGACTAGAATAGATCAATAGGTTTACGTGATCCAATTCATAAATATCCATAGAGACGTAGAAACTTACCTTAGTAGCTCAGAGGCACTGGCGGCATTTATACAACCTTCAAGCCCTTAAAACACCTAATCAACCAGAGAATACTGTATGGCTACATCTGCTCGTCTTGGAGTGCTCACCCAGTTTCAGTGATCCTTTATAGGGCCTTTCATTGTTGTTAAATGCCTTCACACCCACTTCGTTTTTATTCCGCCACGAATCCAATTGTACATTTCAGTCGCCTTAAGTCTGGATTACTTAGGACTCAACTTCTTACTCTGATGAAGTCGAGATAGGTTTTGAAATCCCTGTGAAGCACGTCATAGAGATCTCGACGGTGCTGCCACCGTACCCAAACCCGCATCAAGAGTAGTAATCATTCTGTGGAAATATATTTTCTAGCAGTCCGTTCGTCTTGATTGCTAAATACCTGTTGGTGACTCGTCCTCGCAGATTGTCTACACAATGACTTTGATCTTGGATTTCCATTTATCTTTGTAATCATTGTAATAGAATACATGTATCTTATGTTTAAATATCTTTCTCTCGTCTGGCTGTCAGTTTAAGAGATGCAATTATTGAATAGTTTAGTTACTTGCCTTGTCGAAGTTTATATTGGAACCGCCCTAGGCTCGTCTTGTATGGTGTGGTTCTAGAGGCAACTACAATCCGCTTACTGAGCCAAGTGTGATTGTGAGTGTCATATGTGCGTCGTATTTTTGATTGTCGAATGCGGCGAAAAAGTCGCAATGACCGGTGGGTGTGGTGGTAGTTGGTATGCAGAGAGTGGGACTAGTCGAAGTGTCGGACTGTGAGATTGATTAATATGAGCAACGCTAAGGTAATTGCGTCAGAATGTTTAGGGAAACCAAGGCAGCCGAACGGAGGCGCGTCTAACATCTCAGTGTACTTGCTTACTAGCTACGGATCTGTTTCGCATTGCCCTTTTTCTTTTATTTATTTTTAACCGTATTCTAAAAGTGTCGGCGGCGATCACCTCCTAGGGTCCAGCTGCATTGTCTTGTTTTTTTCTTTTGCCATTGACTCACCTTCTTAAGGTCACGAAACACAATGCACGACGGTTTGGATAATGCGTGTCAATTCTCTTCTGCACTCACCAGACTTTCTTATCGGTCGTACGTTGAAGTTTTCTGATTTACTTTACCGTGTAATTACACTGTGCAAAACGCTATCAGTCTCAACATAAGAGACAGACTGCATTAGAGCTAGGCAGCTTGTTCATGTGGTAAGAGAAAAGACCAACCGGCGGTTTATGGAGTGCATAAAGGATAGATTTTGTCAGTTTCTTTTATTTTTCGGGTGAGAAAAGGATCTGTATGTGTGATAGATTAGCGGGCAATGCAATTGTATCGAATGCTCATTTAAAAGTGCAACAGATTGTGCTTCAACGAACGCAGTGTGCGACTTACTCCAGCAGATTCGCGACGTTGGTAATTCATCATAAAGAGTTACACGTCTCATTGAGTCCTTGTTTACCTTTACTATCCCCTTTGGTCTTTTCTACGAACCACTAAGCCTAAACTGTTCTTGCTCTACAGTAGCTGGTTAAGTTCTAGTGTTCGTGTTGGATTATTCTGTCATTTTTTCTTGGAACAGCTATCATTATCTTGTATTATTTCAAATCTTGTTGCTTGTACCTCCCGAATCCAAATATCTTTTTTGGTACCGTGGAAAGAAATGGCAGTGTAACCTGAGCATATGAAGGCCTGAGTCAATACAATTCTCAATCATCTAGCCGAGCAACCTATTTGTATTCCCCTTGAGTATTAAAGGCTGCACTCAAATCAGCGGGATCCTTTCAAAGAGGGGTATGGTTTTGGCATCCTCTACTGTGTTAGTGGAAGGCAATATTGCGGTTCACTTGGTTTTTAAATTGCCGCTCCATATCCGTTTCCTGGCGCTTCTTGATTGTCTTAAGTGATTGGTCAGGATCGATACGACTTCAAAGGAAAGGTTAGTGTACAGACTTTTGTGTTATGTTTATTTATGACAGGCATTGTTCGAATCGACTGAATGGGACAAGGAGTGGTTCGGTACGTGGTCACACAAGATCTTGACAATCGGTTGTTCCGTTTCAATTCGAGCAGGTGGAATAGTCCGTCTGTGAAACAGTGGTTGGTCACCGGCACTTCCTGTGGTCAACTAGAAAACCGGGTGCCTGTGGCGCCTGTGTTGTAGTACTTCATTTTAAATGCGATTTTCTTACTTGATCGCCATCTAATACAAAATGCCCGCGATCTGTCATATAATTTGCATAGTAAAGCAGTATTATCTGACTGCGCTATCACGTCCCCGTGGAATCATCTGAAATACCTGGGTAGACAAGAGCGATACTTTTTGTTTTATTCGAAATTATACAACTGCCGTTTATTCGTCACGCACGTGCTGGCTGGTTTCGTTTCTGTGGCTTCGTACATTGAAAGTGTTCTCAAAGTCAACATAGGTCAAGTGTAATATGAGGAACCTCTAGTCACTTTTTGACGCCTAAATTAGTTCGGCCTAATCATTGTCGGGTTTCATTTCAAGTGTTTCAAATTTGGGGTCTTTAAATTACGTTTCAACTACTCTTTTAAGGCCTACTGGTGCCAAGGTTTAATAATTCCCTTAGGTTGTCGCCAGTACCCTTTTAACGCAGCTCAGTTCATACCACCGGCATAAAGAACCGGCCTTTAATGCAGCAAAAGATTCTGACAAATGCTACCACACAACTATTTCCGCCGCCTAAATGAGACGTTGAGCATGCTAAATCATGTCTAATCGGATCCGCCGATCTCAGTTAGCTGCACGGCAAACGTGCTATACTTCTGTACTCACATATTTATTAGACTTGTAATTCGTCAGCCGCCCCAACCCAATGTATCGACTTTGGTTCATTGACTTTCGCCCCTTACTTGACAATCTTCCAAAATGAAGAGTTCTCGTGGTCAAAGTAAAGACATGTCTTCTGAAATCGGCTTTCGTGTTCGCTGGCTGCCTCTCTTTGTTTCATGTCTTAACACTGGTATGCCCTAAATGCCTAAACAATCTACACCCAACATTGAACACGCGAGTTTGTGAATCGATGCATTTTTGTCGCTGCACATGCACTTTTTTTCCAACAGCGGTTAATTAAATCCTGTTGCCTAGTTAAAGACATTGTGTACTACCCCTTTAAATTACATGTTAAAATCATGGTTATCAATTCCCATGAAACAGGACATATCCTTCCTTTAGATACCTAATGAGATGTTGAAACGGAAATTTATTGACATCGGAGCAAATCTCACGGACGCCATGTTCCAGGGGATTTATAATGGTTCGAAAAAGCATATGCCAGATCTCGATCAAGTGCTTTCACGTGCCTACAAAGTCGGCCTGGAGAAAATTATTGTCACTGCTGGTAGATAATTTGCCCAAATCCAATACCTTATGGCCAGGTTGTAGAGAAGATATTGCAGCTGCTAGGGCCCTTTGTTCTACTGATTCGCGCCTCTATTACACTGTGGGGTGTCACCCAACTCGGTGTCAAGAATTTTCCGCTGATCCTGAGCATTACTACCTAGAACTTCGTGACAGTGTTCTCGAGGGCGGATCTCGTGTTGTTGCCGTTGGCGAATGTGGATTAGATTATGATAGGTTCGGTTGTGTCCTTGGTACAATTTTTTAGAGAACACTTTTGTCCAATTGATGTACAGCAGACTTATTTTCGACGGCAATTAGTGCTTGCAAATGAGACAAATTTGCCCCTGTTTCTGCATTGTCGTAATGCCTTTGCTGACTTGCTTGGTATTATCAAAAAGCACATTGAATTATTTGGCCCGATTAGTGGTGTAGTGCATACCTTTGACGGAACCAAAGAACAAGCTGCCGGCTTTATCGATTTAGGTTTACATATTGGATTTAATGGTTGCAGCCTGAAAACTGATGAAAACTTACAGGTGAGTACATGTCCCCAGTTCGCTGTCAGTACTATTAGTTCTATAGAACTTAATTTTGAACCATTGAGGCTACTAATGGGGTAGAGACCGAACCAGGTCAGGCTGTATGAAAACCCTTCAGAGAATATCTGTAAATACTTTCCTTACTCGCAGTAAGGTTCACAAGTGTTTTAATTTATTGCACTTTTTATTCTACGCTGCTTTTGCAACTTTTCACAATTCTAACTATCCCGCGGGGCCCAAGTTATCAATTGGGTTAAAAGACGATAGTTAGCCCATCGTCCTTTTTCTAATGTTGTGCCACAAGCCATGTGTGCTTGAAGCACCCTTTCTGCACATCTAGGTTGTGGCTTCGATTCCGTCTGATCGCATTCTTCTGGAAACAGATGCACCATGGTGTGGAATACGCCGTACGCACGCAGGCTTTAATCATGTGGTGACCAAATTTGAAAATAAAAAGCCAAACAAGTGGGAGTCGGGGTGCATGGTCTCCGGGAGAAATGAACCTGCTAACATTGTTCAGGTCCTGGAGGTGGTGGCGGCCGTCAGGAGCCAGCCAATTGATGAACTCGCTAGCATTATATATGAGAATACTCTCCGAGTTTTCCCTGATTTATTGACCAGCCAATGACCTGACCTTCCCCGTTGTTTATATGATGACCTTGAGTAAATTTGCAGCTATATTGATGGCTAGCCAATGCTGCAACTCACTTCAATCGTTCGCTTAAGGCATATATGAGTAGACTCATTTAGGCATGCCACTCGACCGTTAACTGAAGTAGCAGAGTCTCCTCATGAACTCTTTTGTCTTCTGGTACGGTGGATGTGATGACACAAATTGGACAAGGAATTTTGTAGTCTTCGTCTGGGCCTACGTTTGTGGGATTTCTAATTTTTAGAGTTATGGAATCGTTTGGCCATGATTTCCTGTGCATATTGACACGATTCTGTATAATTTACATCTACTAGAATACGTTATTAGGCATCCTAGTGCGTGGGAGAATTCGTACCCACGGCCAGTCACACATCAATTACTTTCGGTTATGGAATGTAACAACCCAAGTGGTTAATCGGCGACCATGCAGCAAAACGCCTTAAGTACTTACGTTATAGTGTCGCAGTGGTGGGTCCGCTTATGTAAATAGTTTCAATTGTCTTAGTACGTCTGGCAGGCAGGAACCATAAAAATAAAACTATTGTGATTGTGTTATATCGTCATGTTTAATTCGGCAGCAGTATCAACAACAATTCTCAACGGCAAAAAATAACGTCAGATAAATAGTAAATTCTCGTGTACACCGATTCCTCTGCATCCAATTTCAAGTAATTCAACTTCATAACCAACCCTGAACGACTCCCGAACCGGGCCTCTGAAATTTGTCAAGCCACCTCTTATTGTCACAGAAGTTAACACTCACCTCCATCTCTAATAGATTTGGCACCAACAGCCCACTCCGTAGTAAAACCTTCGTCTTTTAATCGTTCATGCAATTAAACCGTTACTGTTGACTAACAACTCCACCTGCGGTACAGCAAATCCTCAACATATGACTCGTTGCCCTGGCGTATCTAACTTCTTTTCAATTCTACTAAACCTTCTGCATTATCTTAATTTGTTTTCCATATATTTCGGCAGGTTCAAAGGCCCGATTTTTAATACTGGATCTAGATTATGACGACGGCTTTTTATACCACCTACAGGCTACCAGTAAACACGATTTCCGTCACCCTTCTTTAACAAGGTGGTTTGGAAGCAATAACACCGCTGAACCACAGAAAATTATGGATCGCAGTCACATCGGGAATGAAACCGTTCGTTTATGAGATCCCGCTACCAGTTGTTTGCCGTGTCAATATATCCAAAAAAATCATACTCAACGCACAAATCTGCATATTTATCATAAATATTGTTTAAAAAAAAAATAATGCATGTACAATCGTTATCAATTCGGATCAATCTGGTGGAACAGTACCCCAATAGGCCATATCATCAGGCGGACAGATGTATCCAACAAAAATAAGTATGAAGTCGATTACACTCCAAACACCCAGCCCACCAAATGTAAACAACTTGCCTAGGCCCTCTCGCCACATTCCCAAGTAAAATCTATCCGCACCGAGTCCTCCTAAGAAAAGGCTGAGTATTACTGTGGTTACATAACTTTTTCCTGATTTTCGCGTACATGGACGCATCCGCAGGAACTCTTTTCTACCCATGCAGATTACCGACGGTTGAGCGCGACATTCGGCCACATAAAAACTTCGTGCTACTCCCGGTTGCGTACAGTCACTCTTTGATGGCTTGCAAATAAAGTCGGTCTCATTCGTCAGTTGATGACAATAACGACATGTGGCTTTGCGAAAGTGGATTGAGTCTTTTGCACCATCGCTGAATTGGCAAGGAACCAATGACTTGCAAGCAACATCAACGGTTTGTCCGTAGCGGCAGGTTGAGTTGAAAATACAATGCACGTTAGCAGAGCTAACCTCAGAGCAAGGTTGGTATGAAGGTGACGCTGGCGAGAGTTTCTCATCGGCTTTAGAAACGCACAGATAACAATGTAGAATAATCATAAAGACAGAGAATGCGTCCATCTCGATACTAAAAAGTTAAAAATGCGTTGCAACGTCTAATAATCCTGTATTTATTTCATAAACATTCAGTCAACAAGGATTCGTGAAAAAATTATTGTGAGTCATGGAACAAACACGTGGAGCTAGTGGCGATTTAAAGGCTTAAAGTGCCTAAATTCATGTTATATTTGTTGACGAAATAATAGAATAGTAAACTGAGATGAATATGGGACAACGGCAAAAAACCGAGAAATAACTCAACATAAGTCTCTAAGCACCGAACAAATTATTGGGCCAAATCCAGTCAAGGATGATTAAGAAATAGAGGTCCACTTTAGAGTGAATAAGACGTCGTGATTGAGATTTACTTCATAGGTTAGTGTAGAAACCTTCTGTCGTCAAATTTAGGCGAAGTCAATGGTTATACTTTCGAGGCCACATTTTGGAATAGAAAATTGGAGGTGAAGTCGAGAAAAAGTACAAAACCCACAACTGATTATTAATTTATGAGTCAATCACGGGAAGCCAAAATGAAAAGAGCTATTTCGAAATCCTAACTTCTACTCGACATGTCGCGTCAACTCAGAAAAATCAGCAAATTAAATAAAATTCCGTCTTAGGTGATAAAACTATCACGATGGTTAAAATGTTAAGTCAACACAAGGCCTCGACATTTCACGTTTATAGTGGAATTTTAAACACCAAAAACCTCTGGGATAGATATCCCACCACCATCTTCGATCTGGCATTTTATTTATAATGCTTTGTTTTCTGTCTTGTAGCACTAATACTACAAGTGCGGTTTTAAAGTTACAAATAAAAACAAATGAAAACAGCGCACTTATACTTTGCATTAAAACCTCAACAACAGTCTATCAAAAAAATCAGCACATATGTCCATCTAAACGTCACCATTAAATTAAAAAATACCAGTAGTTAAGGCGGATTAGAATCACAATAAACCATTTAATCGTAACGTTGGCTAGATGTAGCCTAGACCATTTAATTCCACAAACTAAATAGAACGTTTTTAAACAAACTGTTGCCCAAGTGTAGATGTAAACGCAGATTTATGCATTTGTCGCGTAATGCAGCTCTGATTGGTAATGCTATCATAAGTATGCATTTCCAAATATTATTTAATGATGTAAAGCAAAATTACAAAGAAGCTACATAGGTGGTCGAAAATTTGATGAAAAATATGGTACTTTAGTTAGGTGAGTATACCAGTTAGAAGATTTTTTAAATTTCTGCAAGTGCAATTTTTTTTCTTTTTTTCAAAAACCTCCTGCCTTGTCCTCCTGTCAGCCATTCGACGTTTTCTCTTAAATCATATTTTTGTGCGAAATTTCGACAATATTTTAATAACATCCCCGAAAAAAAAATTATGTAGTATTGTTCAAAATAGTAATTAGCGTGTAATGTTTTCTTGTGCACTGTTATACTTACTGGGGCTACATAATAAAATATTAGGTGGCTGATATATTAGAGAACTATGCCAACTCACGCCCTTCATGTTTCTTTTATCATGGCTTTACTGATTCTCCTTTTCCAGAAATGCAAGTGTTCCATCATAAAAAGTATTAATTCTTGCTGTAATCTTTTCTCGTTTTGTTATCAATTGTAAATTTATTTTGTATTTTTAACTTCATTTAGAATGCGGCCTTTCTAGTTTAATGTTGTCTTTAATCCGGAATGACATTAACTTTTGTAACTAGTTTCGTCTAAACAGACATATCATGTCTGAATAAACAATTCACTATTATAAAATCTCGAGGACATATTGATATCTTAATCATAGTATTTGATCGCAACACGTTAAAATCCATTAATTTTTTGAAGCTCTGAATCGTCATCGTTACATGGGACATAAACCCTATACTTGTAGAGCTTTAAGATAAGCCTTTTAAAGAGCTATAATTAAGTGCTCTTACTCGTTTTTGTATTTCACTTTTTTAAGCACTTTCTTACGGACCTCTAGTTAACAGCCCGTTAAAATCGGAGAGGACAATTAAAAGAGGCGACAGAAAACACGACCATTTATAAGTGTCACACATACCAGGTGTCTTCGTGTGCTTATGAGTACGCGTGCGTAACAATCGAATGCTAATAGAAGCCAATAACAGAAATGGTAAGTCATTTGTACACTCGCGTCATCGTACACGAATCACTCACGAGAGGTGGCGTCGTCTACTTCAGCATTAAAGCTATCTTATCGGTAAAAATGAAAATCACTTCCTTACTTTGACCGCTGATAGTGCGAAATTTAAACTGCTTAGCAAACAAATTTTGAGGAAATTACGACAGAACATGGTAAAATGACTACCAATCAAAATCGTGTATAGCGGTTAGAATACGTATTTTAACTCCAAATGGTCGTAGCGCATATTCGACATAATCCTTGCTGTGTTTTATCCCTACATCAGCTAATATTATAAGATTTGATATAAAATTTGGTGCTCATGATTAACTAACAACACGTACACTTATTTATCAGTTGCAAAAATGGAGACGATCAATTGTGACAGCTGAGCAACAAAACACGAGTACATAACTCGTAGGTTCCACAGGAACATTTAACATTGGCTAAGTTTTTTTTAATACAGCTAGCACAATTAATATAATAGTTACTTTTACTATTTTCTTACTGTTTAAATTTTGAATTTTGTATAGGATCCCTGTCTTATCTATGAGAGACTGCACTATATATGTTTCTTACATTATCAAGCCTTTCATTAGTTCAATTCTCCGTGCATCTTTGTTGGATTCGAAGCTCAACCATGCAACCTTCTCACTTATAATTGTTTTTAATTTATATTGTCATATAAATTTTCGTTATTGTCGTCTCCGTCACGATTACTTGATTTCCTTAAATGCCGAATATCGCATCCTGATGGATTATTTTAAGAAATACCCTTTTAAATGCATAAGTTTTTATTTATTTAAATCTAAAATTTGACATTTTTTAATTAGTTTTTTAAACTATTTTAGTCTTTTGAAAATCTTGCAAATAACCATGTCTTGTTTAAATAAGTCATATGACTGCTTTTGCGGTTGATCTCTTCTTATATCTGTGTAGGATATTCGTGTTCTTCCGCCAATGTAAGATTACCTATCTTTACCCTCGTTTCATTATCTTCCTAGGCCTCGGAACAGTCGACATGATGATTATTATGAAAGGTAGATTATCGTGTTGGTTGCTTTATCCCTTTTAAGTAGGGGAGGTTACAAGGAGTATTATGACTTTGATGACGTACCCAGAACCTCTGGTCATTCAAGTACGTCACACAAGTTAAAAAGTGTTTCACATCGGCATCGCGATCTCGATGGGTCTCATTCATCAAAGAAACATTCACATAAGCACCAGCGGTCGCCTGATGGTTGGGTTGAGGATCAAGTTCAGGAAATTGATGACTCTCCTAAGAGGTGACGAATTTGATTTCTCATACGTTTATAGTAGATCAAAGAAGCACAGATCCAGGAACGGAAACCATGGAAAATCGGATTACTTCCGTGATAGGACATCCCCAGAATGCACTGACATAAATACTTATAAGTTCCAGTCTAGCATAATGTCTGAGTTGACAAAGCATCCTACCTTCAAAGAACGACATAGCAAAAAGCATTCAGATAAATCGTCCCCTAAAGCAGAAGAAAGTACCCGTTTTAACGGCTCGACTTCTGTAAAACGACGCGCTGAACACGTTCCTCTAGAACAGATTCAATTGCCTCCTGAACCGAAGCGCACTAAGGTTTTTGAAAGCAAACAAGCTTTGAACAGCTGCATTCCCCCCGCCGATAGCCCCAGCCATTCTTTGGAGCGTGTTAAGCAGGTTCCGACTCCTCAGCCGCATTTAATTAAATTGGATGTCCAGCAAAGTGCATCCCACAAGTACAGCATTTAATTTGTCATATGCATTTTAGAATCAGAGAATCAGTGAAGCGACCAACATTGGTTGACTTGCCGCTTCCTCCTGGTTTCAGTGCATCAAGCGTAACCGATATTTCTCGGGATAGCGTCATAAAGTCTCAAACGATTTCAAATTCAAGACGGTCGGCTCGGCAATCCATATGCCAGAGACCAAAGTAAGCTAATTATGAGTGACGTTGCATTCGCAATGTATTAATCACATAAGTATTTACAAAATTAGCTATTTTGGTCCCTAGTTGATTGTCCAATGTATCGTTTGCGTTTTGCGAAGGTACGTTAGAAGCTTTCGTTTATTCCAGCCGGTTTTCCTTGCTGTGGTAAAGCCACATTCATTGTAACAATTGTATCCTGGTTCCAACACTTGACATTTAATCTCAAGATTTATTGAAATGAAGCTTACGTGGTTAGTGCTACTTGTGGTTTAAGTCAGTTTGTCACAAATGTTTCCAGCCACGTTTGTTGCTAATCTCATAACGATGTCTGTATTACGGAGTGCAGTCCCATCGTCGATCATATACTAGTTTAGGCCAATTGCTTCCTACATTTAATATTTTTATTTCGCCTCCTGTTTGGTATTTTCATCAGAATGAGCCACTACGCCTAGTTGCGACACCGACCGTTCGGCATTAGTCCCGGGTCGGTAATGTTAATTATAAAGGTAACAAATTATTAGTGCGTATAGTTTCAGCATTTATTTTGTTTATGGCCACGTTTTAATTATACGAAGTAGCGATGGGTTTCTAGTCTGCTGCTTTTGGTTCACTGAACGTCGTAGATTCTAGTTATCAATCGAGGTGATTTTATTAACCAAGCAAATCCTTTGACGTTTACAAGTCACCCAAATTAAGGCTTGCTTGTTGAAGTATAGCTCATTGGTTTTGTTGTCATGGAGCGGTAGGCCATTTAAAGGTAATTGTGGTTACTTGAAGTAACAGCATTATATTTTCCAAAACTATCTTTCCAGTTGTAGTTAATGTTTTGCCTTAGTCCCCTCGGACTGGTTAGAGACCTAAGGTGTGCCTTTCTATCGGCTTGTTTCCTGTATTCCATATGACGTGATTGGATGTGTATTTGCAAAATTTTAGCGTGGTTCTATCCAACTACAATGTGAAATTTCTCATCATCTATGCTGTCTTAAAGCTGCTATGCTATCTGACAGATGAACTGAGTTTGGTGGTTTTTGCAACCTTGGCATTTGCACAACAGTCATTAGTGCAGTTTTTCAAGTGGCCCAGTTTGTGGGTGGGTTTACTCATGAAACTGTTTTAACCCTGTGCTTCCAAGGGCAAGTTTGCCTTTATTTTAATTATAAACCCCTACACCCAGTGTAAGTACTTCTAGCTGCGTAGCTTAATTTAGTGGCAATGTGTATCCATTTTATGACATCTAGAGCTTCCCGACCACTCTTATTCGTCTGCATCAACTGTGAGATTTGCTTGTGTGTGGTTGATTATCTGTCTGTTACCGTTTTTTTCCTCCAGCACACTCTCGAATTCTTTCGACCCGTCATATTTGTTTTCTTCCTCTTTTCGTGAATATTCGCGCGTTAAAACAGCCATTTCTTGTGATAACGCAATAAGTATAATGTTTTAGCGGAAATGTTTGTATTCGCTCTTGTGAGACCGACGTTTTATTAATGGAATTAAATGTTCCAGTCGACACGTATGTATTAGGTTTGGGAATAATTTCCTTCAGTCTTGATTTTTCAATCACATAAGTGAAAACTTTGTATTCGGCCGAAACATAATTTAACCAGGAATTTATTCGTCTTTACCATTTATCATTTCCTGTCCGACATGTCTTCTCGTGTCCATGCAACAAAATATCTCGATTTAGATTCAAAAATTCGCAATATTTTTTTTTATTTGGCATATATTTGAAGTAACCTCACACAAATTGGATAATATTATGAAAAAATGAAAATCTGGTTGCATCAAGTCTGACAAATTTTGAGGATTCGGCAAGATAGCTCAATTAAGCGCTTTGATTACAGGTTTATTGTCAATTTGAGGGTATGTATTTCGATGAGATATTTCCTGTATCACTTTGTTTAGTCGGTATATGTGTTAAACATGGGGTTTGGATTGACTCTCGTCATTTGCAAGAGTGATGGTGCAGGATGCCTTCGCGACCTTACCACATGCAGCATTTTTGAGGACGAGCTGCGATGACCTGTTCTTCGACGCAGTATCAAAGGCGGTGCTCTATTAGTTTCCCATGTACTGCATTCACCTTTTACTCCAACGTAGGTTATGGGCACAATGCTTTGTATCCACTTTTTTTTGTTTTAGGATATGTGAGCTCCGCAGCAAAACCCGTAACAATTTCACCTGGGGTGAACGCTCTGTGAGCGCCTTCGAGACTTTAGAGCAAGTTGGCGAGGGTACCTACGGTCACGTTTACCGGGCGCGGGATTGCATAACTGGCGAGATTAAGGCCTTGAAAAAAGTGCGGCTTGAGAATGAGCGGGAAGGTTTTCCAATCACGGCTGTTCGAGAGATCAAAATACTTCGACAATTACGGCACGAAAATATTGTTAATCTTTGCGAGATCGTAACCGACAAGGACAACCCCACAGACTTTAAAAAAGATAAAGGTGATATACCTCTTTGTTCTTATCTAAATTTTTAAGGTGCTTTCTTCCTTGTGTTTGATTACATGGACCACGATTTATATGGGTTGTTGGCTTCAGGACTAGTGAAGTTTTCAGAAATGCAAGTAGCTTCGCTGATGAAGCAGTTGATGTTAGGCATCAATTACTGTCACAGCAAGAACTTCCTCCATCGGGATATTAAGTGTTCCAATATACTGATCAATAATAGGTAAGGTCTCTCGTTTTGTCGCTGACGCCTTATCAGGGGACAGCTTAAATTGGCTGACTTCGGGTTGGCTCGGCTGTACTTTGCAGACGACAAGGAGCGTCCGTATACGAACAAGGTCATCACGCTGTGGTATCGGCCACCGGAATTGCTTCTTGGGGAAGAACGGTATGGTCCCGCTGTTGACATTTGGTCGTGTGGGTGAGTTAATCAGTCTGATTACCGAAAGTTTTGCTTCTGTTTGTCTTGGTGTCTGATCACTTAAAACCAGGGTTAATTATTCTGTGGAATTTTTTAAACGGATTGTGCCAACTATAACTTTAACCTTAATAATTTCGCTTGCTTTTGTTGGACTTCGACCCTCCTTATTTTTGTCTTTATAACTGTAAGATGATAAAGATGGCCAAATTATTGTGATTTTTATTCTTCAAACATTAATTGTCGTCCAGAGAGCCTTCGCATTAACTTTGTGCTGTTGAACTAGTTTTGTTTTTTTAACTACTTTGGGTTGCGGCGTCACGATGTGCGGGTGGGCACTACTTTAATCAAGTGCTTACCCAAGGGTTTTTGCCGGGATCGACATCGTAAATCTGGCTAACGATACGGAGGTTTCAAACTTTCTAAGTACTCACAAATTTTATTTTCCTCGTAGCCTATGATCATTTCATTACCTAAGGCCACTATGCTGCAGTAGCCCATTAGTTTAAAATCAGGAAATCTACGCTTTTCCGGTTAAAATCAAGTAAAATATTCCATTTGTTCTTGCGGAAAACTATTCCTTTAATAAATTTATCTTTTAGCTGTATTCTTGGCGAGTTATTTACACTTAAACCTATGTTTGCGGCAAACGAAGAAATGGAACAGCTTGAAATGATTTCACGAACTTGTGGATACCCAGACTCTCTGACATGGCGAGGAGTTGAGCGATTGCCAATGTATGCTACTTTCCGACCAAAGCATTTGTATAAGCGACGGTTGCGACAGGAGTATTCAGTGTAAGCTATCTCCGCTGCGTTTAACCTGTTTAGGCTTCCCCCAATGGCCTTGGATTTACTAGATTCCATGTTGAGTCTGGACCCGCGGAAGCGCTGCAGTGCCCGGGAGGCCCTTGAATCACCCTGGTTGAGGAATGTTGATCCCTCTGTCATCCCTCCTCCAAAGTAAGATCATTTTGCGATTTTAACTTTAATTAAGTGTACCTGCAAATCTTCATTGCCATGAAATGTGGAGCAAAAAACGCAGAAAGGATATGATGCAACATAGGCAAGAAATGCGGGCTCGGAAGCTTGGAATCGAAACACGCGATGCTGGCCATTTGCCGCATGCTCAGTCCTCAAAATCGATTGACCCGATGTACACTAACGATATCTACTCTAAAGCCCCGTCGTCTCACTGCCCCGCCTCATCTAGCAGAGCCTCAGCGCCCATCGAACCTGTTCCTAATAATCTTTTATCTTCAATCGCGGGCTTATCGGGTTCGGAACTTCAAGATTTGCTTAGAGCATTACAAGAAAATAATCCAGAGCAGCTAATTTCGGACGCATTACAAACCGATCCTACCATCTTAGAGCAACTACAATCGATTATTGGCCCAATCGGGCCTGGAGAAAATGCTTCAGCCGTGGTGACTTCCAAGCTGCTTTCGCTGTTGACAGATCTGGCCTCCTCTGACGCAGTGGCTTTGCAGGATAGAAACGACGCCTCAATTCAAACTGCTCTCCCAAACCACTCTTCCTCGAGTGCCCATTCGAATCAAAGTCTTTCTCGCAAAAGTGTCCCTTGACTTAGGGCACAACCCCTATCTGACCCCAATAATGATGAAATTCAAGCCTCCTGTACAGCCTTGTGTATGAACTAAGCTTCTAACCCGTTCATGTATTATAATCGACTCCCTTTCCGCTCACTGTGTAAATATTTACCTAAAAGGCCAATGTCTTTCTAATGCTAATCTTTTCTTTCATCTGCGTGCATGCGTTTGCACGTGACAAAATACGCTTGACTTAGTTAGTGGCTTCTAGGTTGTGCTTGTAATTTATTGGGAACCGGAGTGAGCTGGCGAACAAATTTATTCTTGTGCACTTGATGTTACATTTAGAAAAAAGGTGACAGCAATGTTAGAACAAACCAAATATTGGGCTGTCACAAAATTGGTGCTGTAATTATCAGGCGATGGGTCGTTTTTGAGAGCCGTGCAGAGGCCGCATTTGAGTTGACAGGGCGAGGGAACTGAACACGGATGGCATCGGAGAAATCCTTGCTATTTCTAAGTTTTAGCGACAGCTCCTTCTGAAATAATTGTAGGAGTATTTAGGGCGTAAGGACAGCTTACCCGAGATATATCCAGTTCACAGTCGTTTATAGTCGTATCATTTGGCAAGCAAATGTAATACTCATACTTGCCTGAGGTACACTTTTTCTCATTAATTTGCCAGTAGGGTTTCGACTTGACTTCTTCTATTAAGCGCTTGCTTTTCTTAGCTGTAGCATCGAAGTAGGGCGAGAGATTATCATGTTGACAAGGCGTTTTAATGCACACCGTATCTGAATTATCGCGAATTTGGTCAAAACTACCTTTCCCAGTAAGCCATCCCTCTAGTTCTTCCACTCTGTTTTGTTTGAAATTCAAAGATTCCAACATCAAATCATTGCCTCCATATGCTTCTGTGCGACGTTCGGGGGTGAACTTCGGCAAGGATTTTCCATGAATTACTTTAGTCCCCTCTATTGTTTGAATACCCATTTCTTGATGCAAGTATAACAAAACCAACGCAAGGAGGTGGTCAGGATTCAGTGAATCGCCTTTACGATTGTCCCCACTCTTTTCAAAACGATGCTGCGTAAAGACGGATGGGTGCATAGCAACGCATACGGTTTTATCTGAAAAAGAATAAGCGCTGTTTGCAATTACCGAATAATGTGATGCGTTAATGCCCAGAACTTTACCAGATTCAACATCGTACAATTTACTACAAAGTAAGGGGACTGCATCACGTTCTGTTTTCGGAGGTTCAACAAACTCCCATTCACATAAATTTATAAAAACTGATTGACCTCTCTAAAATCGATTTGGTGCATATAAGTAATACTGTCAGTGTGCATTTATAGACTCCTCGAAAATGCGGGCGACTAAATATAGCATTTCCCATATGTAATTGAGCCGAAATGAATTTTTTATAACCATTTGGGTCCGATATTGCCATCTCGTCCAGCATTTTCCAGATGCCATTAACGTCATTCCGGTCAAAATCCATTTTGTAAAATGCGAACGCGTAGGGCTAACCAACGTAATACTTCGAAAAATTAAAACAATTCATTGACCTTGAACAGTCAGTCGTAGAACTCCCGGGGTATGCTGAAATATGGCATATATGTGAAAAAGCAAATATTTTTTAGCAGCCTGAATGAGTAAGTGGTCTTACTCATTCGTAAAAAAATAAGCCTTTCTATCAGGTTAACAAACTGATGTTTACACTTTTTAAAAATGTTTTGTCGATGCATTAGATTAGTTTATAATTTTCCCAGTTGTTTAAGCACTATAGGATTTTTCTAAAAAAATTGTGCTAGTAAGCTGATTAGTCGGTCTAGTGTCGAAACTCTAAAATATTTTTTTATGACGTTAAATATACTTCGTAAATACTTGCACATTCGACTTGATTTCATGCTTTTTGTCCTTCATTCTAAGTCCGATATGTATATAATTCGAAATGACGGCCATAAAATTCAATCGAATACAAGTTATTCAATCTCGTTTCAAAATACCTTACTTGTGTCTTACTAATCCAATCCTCGAATTACAAAAAAATTGTGGAAGCATTTGGTTATTTGTAACAAATAGTTCTGTGGCTGCGTCTGTACACGAAATTCAAGACTTATGCCATCGCTAGTAGGAAGTGTGAACATTTGTACATTCCACTCCTAGGCTTTACCTTCTCTTCCTGGTCACAATGTGAATATCCCTGTTCCAGAGATCGAAGTCCATTGATGCTGGAACATCACATTTTTGAGTAAACATAGTTCAAATTTCAATATATTTTCATTTTTACCGATTATAAATTAAAAAGCCCGTAAGTATTCAAAATCACCCAAATTCGGATTTAATTTGCCTGTTGACCGGTCTCTTTTATTTTAATCGCTTTTTCGAAATATGAATTTATGCTTGTAATCTTTTGTATACATCGACGAACGCCTTGCCTGTCATCAAAACTAAACAGGCAAACTGATTTTACCGATTGCATGTTAGAGAAACATCAGCGATAATTAATCGAATCCAATAGGATTTCGTGATGCTACCCGCAAATACGCTAAGTTTAACGTATTTAACGAGCGCCATTTGACTCACGCACGCCAGTCTGTCCTGCTTTATGTCCTCCTCTTTTCTTCCGCAATCTCACTTTCCTTAATGCACGAGCGTGGGCCTGAGGGCAACGCCGACCCTCCTCATGACCATTCCATTCACCTCCCAGATCTAATTAGCCTCAGACTTGCTACCCGACGTATTCGATACTGTACTTTGGCCACACCTTACACATTCGCATACGTTTTTCCTCAGGTTTTACATACTTCTGTAATAACGGACAGCGCCGCCATTGACACTAATGGATTCTATTTCAGCAAATATGCAAATAAGAATAATGAAATCTAGATAGGTTCATTCGTCAATTTTAATCCTGGGAAATATAGGTTTGTTGTATTTCTTTACATTTAATTTTTAGTGCCGTGAGGGAATTTAATTTCCTCTTTCTTGCAACTAAATTCTAAGGTCCAGGATTAATTTTTTTACAATATTTTTAAGCCAATATGTAATTATTAAGCCTTTTGTACTGTCTCCAGCAGCATCAAGATACCTGAATTTGCTGAAAAGGCAATGGTGCTCTAGGGGTTTGAATTACTAACTAACAAACTTAGAAATCTTTGCTTGTTGAATGGGGATTAGGCAAGTGACACTCAAAGGAGGACGGTTATGGAACAGCCTAGATATTCTGCAGAACTTTGTGACATAAAATAAACCCTACTTTTTCGATTTCATCAGGAACACATCGTTGCTTTTACGTTAGCAATGCGGAGTTGAAAAGAGGACCGTTGCAGTTGACAGTGGATGTGCCCAGATTTATTATCTGGTGTTCTCTGCTGATCATAACTGTGCGCAGACATGTCATTCTTAATGTGGTAAGCCAGTTAAATGTCTCTGGGACCCGTGATTTATTCGCATATCTCCCCGAGTTTTTGACCAGTTAACCCCATTCTTAAATGGACGAAACACCGGGAACCAGATACGAACCCGTGTAACCCGATTTTTCAACAACGCATTCTTCGCCACTTTTGTGGCGTCGAACTAAGACGGATGTGTTTGCTTATTTAGAGAGAATTTAACTTAATCACTGGGAGGCTGAATTGTGTTAAAAGTTTTTTCGCACTCATCAAAAATACGAAAGGAGTTTAACCATTATTATATGTTGGAGCCTACGTGCACTCCACATTTCCAGCTTCACGCCGACAATTTTTTCTCCAAACAAATTACAAGACGACAGAAACTATAATTCTTTAAATTAACGCCTTTAATCGAATGTAGGCATTAGGAGTAACTTACTAAGACTATTCTCCGAGCCATTACTTGTGTTCGGTTGTCGGTATAAAACAATTAAATGGCGTTTCAGCGCTTAGTCATCATTAGGATTCTAGCGAGGCAAAAGGTAGATTCCAGTTTTTCATAGTTGAAAAAATTTATTATATTTGATAGAAAAAAACTTTTAAAAGTCATTGTGTTAAAAAGTAATCTCCCTGAACTGGTATCTAGTAGTAAGTCTGACAATTACTCAGGGTGTATTCTTCAACTGCTTGTTGCTGGGGCACATGTGCATGATGCTCCTGGACACTACCACCTAAAGGCATCGACTCTGGGTAATTCTGGTGATATGTGTATTCGAAACTCTCAACTCTCTGTGAGTGAAACGCGGGAACAGTTCCTTGACGATCGCATTCGACCTGCGGGTAGGTGTACCAAGGGATAGAATGCAAGGTTTGGACGTCAGTTGAGACATCCCTTTCACTTGGTGAGAATCTGTGGGTTGTGCTGTTTCCGCTATCTGTCTCCTCATAATTACCCAACAACGAGGGTGATGTAGTAGATTGGCTCTCATTAGCTCCTGGATGTGGTCTTGGGTTTCGCTGGTAATCTACCTGAGACCATGGATGTTCATCGGACTTCTGGTGAAGGTTATGATGCTGCCAGTAAGCTTGAAGGTTAGAAACGTTGTGAGGGACTGAGTCCGTCTCCTTAACGTGAAACGATTGATCCCAAGTCGTGGGGTTGTCGGAGCTGCTTGATGGTTGCGAAGTTCCTCCAGTGCAGCCCGATGACATAGCAGATAGGGACGCTAGACGTGCGCGGGCTTCGTAGTCCCGTCGATAGATACAGGCGTGTAGATGGGAGAGCAATTTCTTTCTAAAGACCTCATCAACTGATCCCATGACCGGTAAAGCACCGAGAAAGCGTGTCACCTCTGCGAAACACTCCTGGAACCCAAGCAGACGATTTTCCAGCAGCCTCATCTCCGTGTTTATGATGGTACCTTCAATAGTCAGATAAATAGCCTATTTGAATTGGACCCTTCTATGATCTTTAAATCTTGACTAAGAAATTAAGCGTCACAAATACGTTGATTTGGTGAAAAAAGTAGAGTAGTATGGAAATAAGTTAAAGAACTGGATGTTTCTAAATACGAGTTTCCTCTCGCAATCGGTATTTTATTTTGACGCTCAGAACCAAAACCATCAAAAGTGTGCACATAGAAGTCCTTATTACATTTCGTTTGATGGGTTTTCGACAAAGCCTAGGTTTGAAACAAATCAACTGATTTCATCGTGGATGTGAGCGTTCGTACTAAAAGATTGGGAACCATGGACATTGAATGAGTTGAACTATATTCAAAAATACCTTTTGCCATTTCCTTTTACTTTGGCTGCATCAATTTTGGTGTCGTAAAATATACGTCCTGACTAGATGCTTCGTGAAATAAGTTGGTAAGTCAAGGTCATCCCAAGGAACGAACTTTTTAAAATAAATATAGTCAATCCAATGTGAAATTTTTGGGGACCATGAAGTGTTTCATTCATGGTCTTCGGTCCATGGTTTTTTCTGATGCTAATTAAAGTATGATGCCAGTTCTAAGCTAGTACAAACCTTGCAATCACTGTCTCCCTGCAGCTCTCATTAAGACCATTACACTACCCGAGTAGTCAGTACACACGCTACCGAATCAAGTTTTGGCATATCTAGGTTCGGTTAGTGAAAGAGATTAGTTCTTAAACGCACAGCAGGGAATCTGTAGTGTTTTGGAACTTTACAAAGCAGTCAGCTACACATTATCAATAGATTTGGACTATTTTTTACGCATAATGCAACACAGTCTGTATTACCATCTTTGTGGATTCGATGCAGAAATTCAACCGTCATTTGTAGGATTTCCGCCTTTTCCAGCTTCGTTGAAGTCTGTAAAAGAATAGGATTTAAGAATTAATATTCCTGCTGGAGGCTCTGCATGAATTCATTGAATTCTTGTACGAACGATTTCTACGTCAACCCAATCACGTTTGAGGAGTTTCTGCTCTAAAACCTTCCCCAGTTGGATCATTAGCGCACTAAAATTGCAAGTTCTTAGGTCATACTCACCGTGTAAGAACACTCATCAGTTGCCAAATGAAATTTGGTGTACATTCTTGACGAAGAGACTGCCGGATGAGTCATCCGCCAGCGGCTTTTAAACTTCATTCAGCAAAATCCAGGGTCAAATTAACACGTGACCTAACCGTTTGTAAGCCCTATCAACCCCCAACCAGCCCTCACACCTTCTGCTGTCGATCCGTGCAATTCCACATTCACGATGTCGCACGTGGGAACACCGAGTGTCGCGTCTCCGACCCCGCCAGATGGTGTCCCCCACCAGCTGCTCAGAGCAATTTCTCGTGCTGTGATAGCTGGCCGGCACCCTCTTGGCAGTACCCAGCATTACTTCGGAGAGTATTCAGTTTCGACTGGGAATATTTCGTGTGACGTGGGGATCACCAGGGCTTTTTAACACAACTCGCACCACCACATGTGCTGCTCATTATGTCAAAGGTTACCAGTTTATAAGCTACATACCAAACTCACTTGTGTACAACGATTTTCCTCTATCCGCTTATCTGAATGTCCCTCCCATAACCCCCTGAGTTTGAGTCAAAGTCTAAGGTATGCCGTAGTTACCCTTCCGAATCACCAGTTAATTTGAATAATTTCGTTTATCCAATCTAGCAGATACTGCCATTACATTCTGAAATGGCTTGCCTCAAAATAAATGCCCAACCCTCGTTTACGGCCAGATTTGCATAAATGCATTGAGTACACGCCGCAGTCTGGTCAAATACAAATACAAATACACAAACTAATTGCATGAGGTCACTCTTTCCTAAGTTTAAGTCTACCAGTGGTAGAAGAGTTAAGCATTTTTCACCAGAAATAGCAGTCACTCAACCTTAGAAGCAGGCTTTAAATTGTCTTTATACTTAATCCAAGTTCTATAATATAGTAAAGCATGATTGTCATGTTCTGCCAAATTTTGCCAAACACACTACAAGTGTTTTCCCAGTTTCGGGCACAAACGACGCCGCACTTCGCGGTCCACCGGGACGCACCGAGGCCCGTTGCTCACCGGCTGAGTGGGTTGCTAGGGCAGGCGACTGGCGCCCGAATTGCCCCTTCGTTTGTGCTCAGCTGGGCAGCTGTGGCCTCTTGCAATTAGAGACATCCAAGTGAGTACCAGTCACTGGAAGGGACATCTGGAGAGGGAGATGCGAAAGCGTTGTGAGGTGTACATGCAAGCCTTCACCTCGTGATGGCAAAACCCATCTTTCTGTTCGGAGCATTAATCGGTCAAAGTGAATACAGAGGTAACTGTCCGCTCATGGGCATTTTTCTCTTCGATCAGTCAGCATTGAGATTTTCTTTAGCCCTGTTTGAATAGCGATTTAAAAGACATTTGATGCGACAAAATGTCATTGTCAGCTTTTTTGCACCGTAGACAAATCCAGTCAAAAAGATTTGATTTCATTGGAAAAAAACTCTCCTACCTGTAAACTCGTGTCTCCTTTTTGACGAGATATTACTCCCATTCGAAAGGTAATGAAGTTCTTTAGTGACCAGGAGTACTCAATAGAAGTATCAAACTCAAGTCTAGTAGCTCAGTTATCTTTATCTGGCAGACTGCGGCAGTTGGACGTCGCCTTAAAACTATTAATAGGGCTAGTAGTCAATGCGCGCTTGAGTTGCGCTTCCCCTCGTCGTCATAGTCTTGTTTATTTGCTTAAGCCGCAGTTTAAGGACCGTCGTAAGTTTGGTCGCCATGTTAGGTCACTCCTACGCTTAAGGTTCCACCGTCGTTCGCTGTAGTGATTAATAAGGTTTGTGTAACCGATCGGTAATTGTGACCGGCCATGGCAATACCCCCATCAAACATGGCACAGCCCTATCGAATAAGTGGATATTTGAAGAAGGAGAAGAATGCAGCCAGTTCGTGGACCTTTTAAGAATGATGCGATCCCTTTTCTCGCCATGCTCACGAAGCTATGACAATGAGAAGAGCGTCCTGGCAACCGTTGCAGGTGGCTTCGTTTCAGCCAACCGGAGGTGGGACTAAAACCTTCTTCGGAGTTCTAACTTCGCCCACTGAAACTGATGCCTCATAAGCCGTGTTCCGAGTAAACCGACTAAGCTTCTTTAAGGTATTAAAATTCCTAAGGCACTTAGCTTCGAAAACGCTTGAGCGCAATATGTCCACCCTCCACCTCGACCGACTGCTCCTCCCCCCCACTCGGGTCTCAAGTGGTTCACCACGCCACAGCCCACCTTATCGCAGCAGTGCATAGCACATAAACAGAGGGGAGAGATTCGCTCCGGGTGGGTGGCAGTTACGCCTGGACCCTGTCATGTAGTGGTGGGTTAAATGTCATCGTTGGGCGACGGTCGCAAGTGATTCTAAGTGTGCCAAGTTGCCCGTTGCTAACGTGCGCTACCCACATTGGTGATCTGATTCAGTTCCTAATTTGAACAGGTGAAACCCTTGAACTAGAGAAGCATAATGTCTGTCTGTGATAGACCAAAGTCAAAGTAAACTACCAGGCTAACCTGTTTTTGTGTGGCGTCCGGGACGAGGCGGCGAAGCTCACTGAGATTGAAGTTTATCCTGTCACGCCGACGCTTTTCGATTATCTTTAAAATGAATTGAGACTTTCGCATTAAGCGGAAACGTATGAAAAGACCATGAATTAAAGAAAAGATATGCATACAGCAAACAATTGGAAATTAAACTCAAGAGCAACGTACACCACGTCTCCTTTTCCTGTCCAAACCGGAGTAGTTTGTGCAGGAGCTGTAGAAAGAATACATTTACTGTAACTTTCACATAAACTAAACAGACGAACTAGAAAATTCGATCTCTGAACCTACCGAGAGCCCCCTTCCAATCCTTCGATTTGCAAAGCGTAAAGCAATCAGTGTTGTTAGTAGCCAGCATATTTCATACATACTGGTTACATATTTATCCAAGTCAAGTAAATAAAGAACTGTCATCTATATTTTCGGGCTTGCGGCCCCAAACGGTCACCGATTGAGCCACATCATTAGGCATGTTTTTTCAAGTATTTAAGCATGGCGTGATGAGGATTGTTAAGTTTGGAAATCTAAAGGGCTTGCTGAGAGCTAACCTCAAAACTTTGATTTCACTTCAGTATTACGGTATCTTGAATCGATTTTCGATGGACTGTGAACATGGAGTTGGGATGGAATGCAATTTTCAGCAGTTTAATCCTCGTACTTCAAAACTCTCACTTCAGTAATGCAAAAAACACTAGTTAGTCACACACGAGGTTAAATAAAGGGGCTGATGCATTTACACGGTAAAGTCAATACAAAATGTAGGATGAATGAAAACGTAACCCTGCAAATTAAATGCATTTTTCTAGTAAGGTGCCCTGTATTTTGATATCAAAGTCAGTCAAACATGGCAGTAGAGATGCGCAAGAAATTCCTCTCGATGATTGTGCCCAATTCGTTCGGTCTAGACCAGTTTTATTAATTTTTTTCTGTCCTACACCTACATATGAACTCAACATTGGTAGCAAGTGGTACGAATGCCTCAAAAAAGCAAAAAAGGGAGTCAGTCGTTGAGTTCACACGTACGGGGAATCGAGGCAAAAGCATTGAGATGGAAAGTGGTTCACGAAATTACTATTACTGAAAATTAATCTGCTGGAAGCACACTTTTCAACCTAATGTTTGGGTCAAGAGAACCGAACTCGCTCGACTAATCACTGATTTAGCTTACATTGAGCAATTTTAAGTAGGTATTGCACTTACCTGCTCTCATCATCTGGAATATCATCAATATCGTCATCAGGAGAGATGCAACGTCTTTCGTGGGCACGCATGCGACGGGACAGTAACCACACGATATCAAAACCCAGACAAATACCAGCGTTTTACCTGGTGAAAACCGGGGTTACTGTTCGATGTGTTGATTGGTTCGCGCACAACTCCGGGCGTCATTCAACCACTTGTTCTATTGGTTTATCGGCGCAGTAGCTGACCAATGAGCGAGTGAGCGCAGTTATTTCGCGCACTGTGGTGTGTGCGCTTCCCATGGGTAAAATGTCCAAAACCAAAGATACTTGAACAGTTTGTAACCTAAAGGATTTTCATTGATCCACTTAACCTCACTTTCCTTAAATGAATTTAACGCACGTAGAAATGCTTTATATTAGCACCGAAGTTGTAGGCTAAATTCGGTAATTCCAGAACCTATAATTCAGTAAATGGTTATATAGAAACTGAATTGGTTTTTTTACATAAATTAATCCATAGCTCATTACTAATCTAAAATAATACATGCATGCTTCAATATATAAGCAATCATTTTTTCTTAAATTACGCCATACCAACCGTTGAGTTGTGCGTCAATTAATTTCCAGTAAATATCTCTTTATAGAAATCCATTGCTTTGCCGAGTAAGAAGTTTGATATTTGTCACAGTGAAACAGAGGAAGTAAAAAAAATGTGACACGTGTCATTGTTAAAGCAATAAAGTGGGGGATTGTAGGTCACCCAGTGCTTCTGCTGTATCCTTCATCTGGCGACCGATGATGCCAGAAAAATCGTGTAAATCGAGGCAAATACATCACTTTATCAACTTAAGGGAAAGAATCAGCCAAAAATTTGTTGAAGTTGCACGTGCCAATGGTCACACCTTTTGTCTTCAATCACTTTACTTAACAGAGTGTTTATAGGGCTGGGAAATCTTACTAGAGCTTGCGAAATCCCTTTACGGCAAGTGCGCAAATTGTGTAATTTGGCTTTACGGAATCCCGCCTTACTCGGACGGCTGTTCAAAAACTGCAATGACCTGTATTCCGCATATCCATTGCTCTCTTCTCCATCCAACACCTGGTTTCATACTTCATTTTCGTAAACGAAGCTGTAAATGCGTTCATATCCTGCGTATATGAGGGTGATTCATCTGTCGCGTTTTCACTCGAGTATTATTTGTTTATGGCAGCTGCTTATCCCTGATAAGGGGGCACTAAACTAACCTTGTTGGATTTCGTTTAAATAATACAAGATTCTTTTACCCGAAACGTTAGAACTTCCGCATCATGTCTCAGCGTCGATAGTTGAGTCATCATGGAATCGACCGCCAACACAACCTGACAACTCTCGTTTGGCTACTTGTGTACAAGTAGTGCGTAACGGACATTCAAATACAAGCACGTGTTAAATGTAGATGGGACAATTTTGTATTTGAATGATCACCCAGTGTGAGGTTGGTCAGAAGTGGCTGCATCTTCGCTGTCGTTTTTCCTTTCACATAATAACTGTTGTACTCAGCATCGATTTTACTAATTCGCAGTGAAGTCAAAATATCGGCCAAGGTGTCCAGAAGAGGACCGAAAAAACTTACTGTGATGTCTTGATTTTCGCTCACAAACTATTAAATTTGAGGACTCATTGTGAGACCCGACGATTGTTCGGATGATGTGTGATGTAAAGGTGTGATTTTTTACCCGGAAAACACAACAAGTTTGGGCAAAACTACTTGATGTGCGTGCCAGTAGGGATGAGCGCATTCACGTTAATAATTAAAGAACTCAAGATGAATGCGACACATAAAAGTTGTCTGTAAATAAAAACGAGTAGGTATGTTTGCGTGGAAGAAAGAGGAGTTTGTGAGTGGATGACATATGCAAATGGTGAAAACTGACCCCAGGTAATCATCTGGACTCCGCACGCGCCAAGGCAGTTTTTCTTACTTTTTTCGTAGACTTCTAGCATTTTCTAACCGTGCGTTGACCTAAATGAAGTCACTGAATGCAGGCTAATGACTCTGATTTTGTTTATTCTGCGCATCAAAGCTTCCTGGTCCCATCACTACACCCACAAACGTAGGTTAATCACCATCACCTTAAGGTGGCGTTGACACGTGTCAGGGGGGGATTAATGTTCACTTTGGTATCACTGCCATGGTGACTGCCTCAAAGCAGTAAACAAGCCGCCGTTGTATCCGTTTGAAATTTTTTACCTGTTAGTTATTTTAGTATCGGTACTAGTGCACCAAGGGATCACAAACACCGCCTCATTTATTGGCTATCGGTTTGACTTTTAGATAAGCTCAAGGGGCGAGAATCTCTGTTAGTACTGAACTGCGTTGCAGGCAACGTCTACGAGCCCCTGTGGTACGTGCAAAGGAAACAACCACGGTCCAGATTAGATTCGTTTTACGAAGCCTCGTTCTTTTTACTAGAATTATTGTTTGCAGTCTCATCTTGCTTCAAGGAATCGAGGACAAAATACCTATAAGAAATTTTGTATAAAAATTAATGCAACTGTAGAGTGCTTCAAGGACATCTCTTTAAATGTCTTTAGTTCTAAAAGTAGTGAGTTAGATCGCATTGACCTATTGAAATATAGGCAAAAAGGTTTGCCATGTTTTTAATAATAGCTCAAGAAAACTACACCAGGCTTAACTCAGCTACTACGTCAACATTTAAAGTGTCCATCAACATTCCCTGTCACACCCTCCTACAGACATTTGCATGACGGCGTTGTGGATGGGGCCTCAGAAAGCCTCACCGGCAAAGGGGCTTACTCGAGATCTCCTTTACCCCTTTTTGTTAATGTAGTGAGTGGACAATCGGTGATCCAAAAGCTCACACGACAATGTGACTGGAGACACACGAAGTGACTCTGCGTGAAGCAGGAGGGAGGTTGGAGAAAACTCACAGCTTGACCGACATGTCTTAATGTGCATTTTGATCCTTGGGTTTCCGACCAGATGCGTACGGGCAAGCAACACATTTGGACTAACCGATTCCATGGAAAGAAAAGATCCTAAGAGAGGAGCTTGGATTTCAAGATGATTTGCTCCCCCGTTTACACCCTTGGCAGGTATTCTATTTAGAATGTGTGTCCTTCAAATAGACACTGAAAGCAGGTGCGTATGACTCGCGGATCCGAAGGGGTCTAGATCCAATTATCATAATGTGGAAGAGTGAAGGTACTGGCGCGTGTGGAAGCTACACCTCTTGACTCTGTATTCGGCTTAGCTTGCGCCTGAAATGCACCTCGTGGCTCCAACACTCATCGCAGTTCAGGAATTTTCCAAAGTTGGTCCACTGTCACTCTGGAAACTACGTGAATTCCCTTGATATCGTAAAGGTAAGCAAACAATTGAGGTTTGATTGAGTTACTAAGTAAAGATATGCTCAAAGGTGGGTGTTAGGAAGTTTTTCGGTTCTGCTGCATTCTATATTATCATACGACTGACAGTGACAAAGGTTGATTTTGCTTTTTGATACATTTGTCATTGCTGCTTCTG